AAAGTCCACATGTTGCAGCGCCTAGGCACAAATTAGCGTATAGGTTCTTTGCCTGTTGTTCAGGGATTGCAGTTTGCAGTAGTGCTGAGAGAAGGACCCTTTTGTTCCAGGGCTCTGGTGTGCTCTGCGCGACATAGTCACACGCATGGATCCTTGCTTTTAAATTTTTGCAATAAAGCTATATGCACGCACGATGCAAAACTAGAAGCTGGGGTTGTCACAGGGCAAGAGGCACTCCAACTTGGAGCAAAAATGTCACAGCAACGGAGCTTAACCCCAGCGGACTGGAGTTACCAAAGGAGGCTTTTCCAGAAACCATTTTGCATTCCCCCACCTGCTAAATCTAGTCAAAAAGGCTGCAGCTTGTAAGCATATCACTGCAATCATGCAGCTCCAAATGCACTGCCTCCCTAATGCAAATTAATACCTGAAAGTCATGAATGCACATCGATCCTTTCTCGATCATTTTTGCCAACGTACATGCGTACTTTTAAAATGAAGGCCTTTGGCGCTAGTGACTGAAGACAGACTCTTGACCTCTCAGGCCTGGTCTGCAGCAATCCAACCGCCTAGCTTCTTTGCCACCTGCCACCTGGCGGCAGTATGCAGCAGTTACGGTTTCCCATCACTTTGAAATGAGGTCGGGTATTGGTGTAACGCTGTCGAACAAAAAGAAACTTGCTGCTAAGAAACGCTGTTTCTATTCCATATCGCCCCCAATTGAGCGTCACCCCACCCTTGCGATCCACCTGCCAAAGAAACAAGAGAGCAGTGAACACGGGTCCAAGCTACCATGGTAGATGCCTGAAACAGAAGTCCGGGCACATGTTCTCGCACTCCTGTTGCCCTCTTATCAGTCACCGAAGACACGTAAAAGCTGGTAGTGCCGAGCCTCAGATGTACCGCGGCTATATGTATATGTACGGATGTGTTCATCATTAGAATGATCAGGATATTTATATAGTCGACAGTGTCAAGCAACAGCACTCCAATGGACGAGCTATCAGAAGGTAGTGACTTGTTGGGCTTGAGGGTGAAGCTCCTTGGCCGGTGCCAGGTACTGCATCAGCGTATATGTATACATGCATGTATCATGAAAGATCAAGGCTCCACGTAGAATACACCTCGGTGTCAACCGGTAGTACAAGGTGGTGATCTTTCTGGCTGAGATTCTTCAACAGCTCGACGGATTTCTGCACACAATGGGCACAGTGTTCTGGACGGGCTACATCAATACATGTGCAGACACAATAATATATACGGCGCGCTATCTTGCCTCAATTTTTGCAGCCTTCGCTTCGGTGGGCTTCGTATCATCGACCTTGCGCTTTGCACTCCGCTTTGACAACTCCGGTGTCAAACCTGTTGGTGCTCTTTCTGGATCACGACGAACATTTGCGCTGGTGGCAGCTGGACTAGCTGCAGATACCTCATGTAAGTCAACAAGTGCCAAATGTAAATGTGATTGCACGTTCAGTTGCACGTTCATTGTGTGTTCTAACTTGAAACGAGCTGCAGCACGCCGCTTGCGCTTGGGGCTCTTAGCCGTCTTAGCAGTCTTGTTTTTCGGAGAAGCACGTGCACGCTTTGGTACATTTTTTCCTCGTGGCCTTGCTCCTTTCTGCTGTTCCTCATCGCTGTCAATCAAAACCTCTTCCTTGTTGGCTTTGTCTTCCTCATCTATCTCTGCCATCTCTGAATTCTTTTCTGGATCACTAGGGTGCGTCTCCTCATCCTGCTGTTGGTCCTCCTCATGCTCGTCCTTCTGCTCCTCTTGTTTTCTCCCACCACGACCTCTGCCTTTACCTCGACCTCGGCCTCGGCCACGCCCGCGAGTTGCTTTTGCTTTTGCTTTTGCCTTGGGATCAGGAAGTGGCTTCTTGGCATGCTTTGCTGCTGCACGTACTTTCTTTTGCGCCTGCAAGAAGCACAGACAGCACAGCACGCTATGAAGATCGCTATATAAAGAAAGCTGCAGCTGTGCACACATCAAGAAAACTATGCAGCGCTATAGTTGCCTCAAAAAGCTCATCAGCACCATCCCTACCATCAACCTTCATTTGTCTCTCAATGTCTTCGCAAACCCTCTCTGCTTGGTCAAGCAGGGTCGGGGATAGGGGGGGCTGGCATTGCGCACAATGGTTTAGAATCCTGCCCACGAAACTCAGTGGCTGATACGAATCAACCTGAAAAGCTGCAGTGCATGTACGAAGGCATCACCCCTACATACGCTATAGATGTCACGACAACTCAGCGTCCTGTTGAGCGCTTGAAGTCTCCTTCAACTCGAGCTCCACATCTTGGCCATCTTCGTCGTCGACGTCATCCTGTTCGTGGGGGCTATAGCTATAGGAATCAAATGTGCACATGTTGGAAGTGAAGAGGCTTAATACCAAGACAGGTTGAGAGGACACAAAGGGTCCACACCAGCTTCTAGTGTGGACCCTTTTGTGTCCTCTCACCCTCTCTAGGTAAGCAGATCAAATTGCACACCGCATCATGCGTTTGTCACACATCGTATACATTTGCATTGCAGTGGCCTCATAAGGAAGCTGCGAGTCGTGTTCTTGAAATTGATGAGGCTTTCCTGCGCAGGCCCGAACATAGCTAGAAACAAAAAGTTGGATCCATAGCCTGTTGAAGATACCGGTGCAGTAGGTTCATCGCCATCATGACCACCCTTGGCAAACGTGTGGCAGGATCTGGAAGTGGTGCTTTATGGATCCCTAATATGTATCCATGGTCCCTCAATGTTGCTTTTGCTAATCTATTGAACTTGGATGCGTGCCTCCACTTGCACTTGCGATTCTGCTGGTGCTGACACATTGCCGCCGCCTGTTCCAAGCATGCTTGGTCATGATACATGCATACTCTAGACATGTTGCTACAGGCCTGAAGTTGGTTCCTCATCGCCGTCCTGGACAACATATATGCATGTATGTGATCGTAATTATATAGATCTTTTTGCGTTTAAAATCTTCAGCGCCTCCTTGGGCGTTTCCTTCTCAGTAGGCCCACCGTTGCCCACCTGTCGCGTGTTTGGAAATTAGTTCGGAACGCTGCGCAAAAAGAGAAGGCACAATGCATCCCCGCCAACTGGATTGAAAGATCAACAACAATGAACGCACGTGATAGTGTACTCTTTCCCTTGAATGTCCCAAAGTCCCAACCTCCAGACCTTTTGGGCAATGAGAAGGCGGTGCAGCTACACCCTGAGTGCCAAGGAAAAAAAAGACCAGGCTACCAGTGAGGCTTCTTTGGTCGAGCCTCTGGACCCAACACTGAACGGAGTAGATCTTGAAGTTCTAGAATGCGGGCGTTTGAACTCCTGTTTCGCACAGCCATGCAAATAAGCAGTAGAATGTGGCACTGCATGAAGGGCCTTCGACTGACAGGACGCTTGCATCTTTGGATAATGTAGCTGGCCAGAGCCCGGTGCGAGTTGCCCTCCTCCCAGGCCCACTCCTAGGATGGTTCCATGTCCAGTTCTCTAAAATATCAATATATCTGCCATGAAAACTTGCCATGAATCTTCACAATGACTACACATTGCCAAGTATCTTCCAATTCCTGCTTGTAATCTCTAGACTTTACCTTGCTGCTCTCCCCATCTTTGGATCCAAAAGATATCAACTCAAATTCAGCTGCAATGGTAATAAGAGCCGCCTGCGATTGCAAAAGCTCCTATCTATATCACGACGTGATGCACTAAAGACATCTAAAGACCTGGCCTGAGCCTCTTTGCTTGTTGGGATTTTCTGAGCAAAGACCGCAAGATATAGCATCATGAAGTCAAAGGTACCATCACGCTGGGCCTCAACAAAAAAATTAGATGATAGTGGTCGACTTGACCAAGTACATAAATGTCAAAATGAGCAGGCCTGCTGTTGATCTGGCGCGCTAGAGTGATCAAAAAATGTGAATTTGACCGGAACCTTGGCAGAGGAAAGCTGTGAATATGTGTGTGTGTGCTTGCGAGTGCGCATATATTCATATAAGATGTACGTGCACACGTGTTTAAAACACAGGTTTTTTATTGCGACAGGAAGCTATCCCAGACTTCAAGAAGTTCCTGAGTCTATCCCTGCCAATCCCCTCCTTCTTGCACAGGTCTTTGATGCGGTTGTCCTTGAAGTGATCTTCAGTCAGGAAGCCACGGTAAAAATCCTATCAGGTAAGCGAAATGAGACCTGCGTACAGCTAGGCTAGACATGTGAGCAAAAAAAACATGCTGGCCTCTAGCAGCTTTACCGTTTGAGGGTCAGGCTTTGAATCCGGCATGCTGCACCACGTTATCTAAGGCTGATGAGCCACCAGCAGCTTCGGACTGATGACTCCAGCTCTGATGAGAGCTACAGTGAGAGAATTGCGATGGGTCGGTTGAGCGTCACCGAACAAAGCGTTGTCAAACATGCCAGGATTGCGCATATCTTGTGCGCGATGAACCCCACGCAGAAAACCTAGAGCAGGTCACCCCTTCCTATATCGGATATCATGCTACAGTGGCTGAACAACGCATCACTCCTGAGAGATGGACGCTTTCTCATAGATCTCTTCATGATCACTCGCAGTCCATGGCAAAGGTCAGTGGGACTCTAGGGAATCACAGTGGGGACCTTCATTCCATGGTTGTTTTCCAAGGTCGGTCATCCTGTACAAGTCCCCCACAGTGGTGACATCTCCTCAGGAAACATGCATGGCAAGAATGCTGCTCTAGATCTTGCTGCCCCACAGAGGGCAATCATGGATTTGCTCCTTGAACGCTTGGTGGAAAATCGCGTTCCAGAGTCCAGAGCCCATCTTCGGTGATCATGACTCTAGGATACTCTAGGATCAATTGCAAGTGATGCCTTGGTAGACCAGACAGATCATGATCAATATATATATATATAATCATGATATATATATATACAGGTGCGATCCAACTCCAATCAATGGTAGACCAAGACAAGTTTTTGACGGACCATCGGTTGGTAGCAGTTTAACGAAGACAAAGAAGGCTAGGGATATATATATATTTAAGAAAATAACATCAAAAATCATATTTCAATGATTTAATAAATAATATATAATGTATATATTAATCAATTATATATTAAACAATATATTTTGGAATTAATTTGATGACCTCGGTAAGTAACAATTAATTCAACAAATATAACAAGTGAAAAAGGAGATAGCGTGTGGAATTAAGGTTGTTTGTATAATCATTTACAATTTGCAAGGACTTGGGGCACTCAAAGCAGTTGCAAAATCAGTTATCTCAGCTCTGCCTGAGAATCCATGCGTGGTGCTTGTGGAGCTAGAAGAGCTAGAGCCTTGGTCTGATCAATTGCAGCAGTGCTGTTTCCAGCTGCAACATGCAAGAACCTTGGCGCAAAAACTTACATAGTTGCCGGAGGTTGCCGGCAAATGAGGTTGAACGGCCGGATAGCGGCTAACGCTCTGCTGCTGAATTCCCCATCGCAGGAAAGTGAGGCCGTCACTGGTCGACTTGGCCTCACGTCTGCAAGAGATTTCCGACGCGGTGAAGGTGGGCAGCAGTCTTCTAAGGTCACAGCAGTCCTCTAAAGCACCAATAGTCTGAACAAACCCAACAAAAACCGCTCCTCACCACGGGGCCTAAACCATCAACATCAAGGGCCTAAAAAGGAGCGTCGTGGTTTTCTGGATCAATCAACTCAACGACTCGAGCCGGCAACCCAGGGTGTCCATCCATGTCCCATGTCGCAACTTAAATTGTGGATTCAAACAGAAACTGTTGTGCCTTCTTGGACTTCTTTTTCTTTTTCTTCTTTTTTGCCCTCTCCCTTTCCTTCTTCCTTGGAAGAGTTCGCAATGAGGGCATGAGTCGGTGTCTTTGGTGGGCCAGGAAAACCTTCTGCAAACAAAGGCACGATGCAGACTTGCCATCACCCTTCTTAGCCTCACGCAAGCTTGGGGATGCGAGGTCTTTGTTGAAGCTAAAAGAAGTAGGGAAAATCATCCACTTCGATATACTCGCGGATCGAGCCGAGGGTTTTCCATGGCAAACCCTCATCCCTCTCCACGGCCTTTTTCTTTGCATTTTCTTCTTTTGAACTTGTAACGTTCCCTCTGCTGCTTTCATCCTGGCAGAACTTTCACACACCTATATATACAGGCAATGGTGTTTGTCTGGCTGGCGTTGCTTTGCCAAATCTCCATCTCCAGCCCTCAAACTGTCAAACTTCTCCAAGCAACTTTGCATTCACATATTTAACGATTTTGATATATTCCCACCATTGTGATTGTGTAGGAACTCCAAGTTGACGAAAAAGTAGGTTTTGGTTTTACCATGTTTTGCCGGTTGACCGGTTTACCCACGACGACCGTCTCGCTGCGCTCGGCGTTTCTTCGGCCCGTCTTCTCTCGCTCCTCAAACGGCAAAGGCGCGCTGGCGCCATGTCTTTGCAACTTTGGGGTGACCTCAGTAGTAGCGTCGGACCGCTCTAGTAGCGATGCCAGCCCCTAGTAGCGTCCTTGCTCCTAATGAATTAGGACGTTCCAAAGAAAGGGATTCAAGGCCAACCCTCAAGTTGATGGGCCAAGAATCTGGTGGGCCACGAGAAAGAATGGCAATGGTTTGTTGCAGAAGAATTCTCTATAGACTCGAATTGGTGTTTGGATGGTCGGAATATGGCGCACCGGGCACTGGAACTCTGGAGAGTTACTCATACGACAGATTGACCAACTCGAAACACGGTTTGGGCCCTGACCAGCTTGTCATACATCTTCCGCAAGGTTTCTTTGGGATTCGCCACTTTCATGGCCTACCACGTCAAGAAACACATGCACTCGCTTGTGCGACCGTCAACATTCCTGGTTGGCTTCTAGGACGTCAGCACACATCAACAACACGTCACTGTCTAAGACAACCAAATATATAGGGACAATTGTAGGGTCATTCTCTCATTCACTAGTGGTCAGACCAGTCAGCCCACCAAGGTTCCAAACATCAATTGATTGATTGACCGGTACCTTTGGCAAGTTTCCACTAAGCAGCGCACAAGAAAATGGCACGAGGCATGAGGCGTGTGCCTTTAAATTGTTGATACTCCACTGGTCGCAGCAACAGTGTCAGTGGGGTGACTTGAACATGTATTCGTCCCCCAAGTGAAAAGGGAGGACCCGGCGGTTGGCCCAGCGATCGTCTCTCCTCCTTCTCTTTCTTGTCATAGAGCTTGGCCCAGGCCTATCAAACGATGCGGCACCTACTAAAGAAGGATTCTAGATGTCTGTCAGTAGGGGGTTCGTCACCTTGATGCTATGATAGATGTGGCAAGATTTAAGGCCTCTCCTGGGCTGTCACAACATCAAATCGTCGGAAAGCTGATGCCTCCTAAGGACTTGATTCCTGTGGTCTGCATGACCTTTGGTGCCGGCCCCGGCCAGGTGCAGTTGCAGCTGGTGAAGCCACAGAAAAGAATTTAAGAAAGCAGGACATCCAGCAAATGTGATCAAATGGGTGCGAGCACTTACTACAGCTACCCACAAAGATCCGCAACAAAAGGCCTCACTTTGGTCCTGAATGCCTCGCCGAAAGGTCATCACCTGGCAAGGAAGGAGGGACTTGGTGGGGAAATGGGGATTCTTTTTTGCGATATCACTGATATCACAAGCTTGGGCGCAACCATGCTGGGAAACATGCCAAAGGCAGGAGAACCTGACCGTTTCGACGGACTACTTGGCTCTTCAGCCATCCTCACTTGAGGCCAGGGGGAGGAGGTCGAAAGCTAGCCGAATCGCACCGGATGTACTACAGTAGTTACATAGTCGGCAAAGCATGTAGTGATTACATGTTTTGGGAGAAAGGTTGCTACGTACATACTTTGCGCTAAAGAATGTACATGTGACATCGCCGACTGGGAAGGGTACATTGGAACTCGTTGGCAGGCACGAAGATGCGTGATCGGCAAATCTGGGGGTTAAATTTACCCCCCGCTTTAAGAGGGGTAATAATTTCTGACATCACACGGACTGTACATACACTAGGGCGTCCGTAGTGTAGGAGAAGCACGGGTAAAAGGTATATGGAATAGAGTGTCTTGAGGAAATAGCCGGTGT